GGCTGAAATAATAGTCAACACAAAATAAGGAGAAGAGAGAATAATTTGTATTTAGAAGTATAAAAAGGAAAAAAAAATTCCTTTCCATGAAGAAGCTGCATCCAAGCTAAATGCTGAAAGGTTAACCCAGCCATGGAAGATGCTTCCAGGAAGATGCAGGTCTGCGGGAGACAAGGAAAGCCCAAGTTCAATGCTTCTCCTTCCACTCACTTCTAAAGAATGTCCCCATGTGAAGAGACCTTAGAGAATCATTAGCTTGCTATTCAGAGTGTGGTGTGTGGACCAGCAAAGTGAGCATCAGCCGAACCTTGTTTGAAATGCGGAGTCCCAGGCCCCACCTCCAGACCTACTGAGTCAGCATCTGCATTTTTTTTTATTATTATTAGTTTCAGGTGTACAGGACAATGCAATAGCATCTGCATTTTAATAGGCTCCCTCAAGCTCAAGAAATGCAGATTTAGTTCCATAGTTTTCCAAAAACATGTTCTGAGAAGGTATGGGATCCATAGTCTCTGTGTGTGTGTGTGTGTGTGTGTGTGTGTGTGGTGGGGGCGTGCCTCAGGGAGAGTGTGTAAGCTGGGGTCTCTCCATCACAATAAAGGGAGACCTACTATGTGCAATCCTAGTTGGGCTACAAGGTAAGGTTTCATTGGAGCAGAGGGTCTGTGACTTAAACATTTTTTTTTTTTATTGTAAACGAAAAGAAGTTTGAAAAACAGCAATCCAGGTCCTTTCATTGTCCCAATTGGGAGACTGAGTAACAAAGAAAACGTAGGACTTTGCCTAAGTCCTGTCCTGGGAATGGATATCACGGTAACACTGCTGAAGTCTCCTGATCCCAGCCTTTTCCCCTTTGCCCACTTTGTTCAGTGAAGAAAGTAGCACAAAATACCAGAAATTTCCAACCAACTGCTTGTCACGCACCATCATGCACCACAGGTGTCTTCCAGCTGGGCCTTGAATTTCAAAATTGGTCCTTTTCTTTCACGCTCACGCCTAGTAACTTCTCCTCAAGGACTGGTCTCACCCACCAAGAAGCACTGTCTGCGTTGCTGCTGTCTCAGCTTGAGAGGTCTCTGGCTGCAGCTCTGCGTTCACTGCTGAGGGGACGGACCCTGCAGGTTTGTTTGTGGATATTTCTGCTAATTATCTTGCCACAGGTCATCGAGAGAGATCTGGACGACAGTTCAATTAATAGTAATCAGGGAGCGTACCTGATGGCACAGCCCACCCCAGCGCCGAGATATCAATATGAACATTGACTCCTGCATGTGATTGACCACATAAACAGTTCTCCGAAATGAAACGAGAGATGGCTCGCGCATTGCGTCCAGTGATGTTTTAAGGCTTTACTTCCCGAATCTCTGTAATGAATTACACTGCAGTCTGGTTTGAATTTTTCAATTTTCGGCACACATCCTGTCCTGTTAGCAAATGACCCTGTGGCCCCTATCAGTTTCTGCAACAATTTGAATTAGCCGTCCTACAAAGAAGACAGATTCGGATGTGTCTAAGCCTCGAGAAAGACACAAATGCCGGGCTGTGACCCATCACACTTTGTGGCAGAGACAGACAGGATAACCAGGTTTCTTGACCCCTTTGTCCACTGGACAGATGCCTCATGTTATAGCACCGACAGTAAAGATTTTTCTACAAGAACCAAATATTGAGCCATTCATGCACAGTCATAGAACTGCCCCCATTATTTTCATTTATGAGGAAAGATTTGCAGATTGACATAGAAAATCAATTTCAGTTGGAACTAATTTATATAGATCTCCCTTAAATCTAGGAATCTAAAAGTTAGTGGAGGGAGGCAGGAGGGACAATGAAGAACCACCATACAGAGGAGTTTTTAAATCATTATTTTTTCCATAATGTTAAGGTCAATTATCTCAGGCAGGCAGGTATAAGAATCCTACATAAAGTTTAGAGACCAAATCCTTAGATAACATTTTCCAAATGAGGAAACAGAGGCCCCGAGAAATCAGGTGATTTAAGATCATGTAATTGATTCGTGATATGTGTAAGTATTCTAGGAAGAAAGCAGCATTTTGGTAGTTATTAACTCTTTGTTTGGCATTTTTAAGGCTAAGATGGACATACCAAGGAATTGTGAAAGAATGTAAAATCACACTAAATTTTTAAAACCCCAGTTGCATATCTGTTAGATTTTATTATGAATTTTAAGATATTATTATGGAAAAATGCCTTTGTCTTTTAATCTAGTCAAAACCAACAGGAGTAAGTATAAATTTTTTAGTTTTGCACAAATAAAAAATAATTTTGTAGCTGGATTTTACCTGTCCATCTTTAGAATATTTTATATGAAACCTATATTAAATGTTGCCTCCCTGTATTTTCTTCACCTTTCCAAACTACATTGAAAATCCCTTTGCCCTGAAATGGTTTGTATCTCCCATATGAACCAGAAGCCATGTTCCATACCTTTCTTTGGCCAAATGCCCTTCAACACAGCACTTAGCACCATACACCACATTTGAGGTGTTTTGTAAATATCTGTGCATTCTCTTGGACCCAATAATTCCACTTCTGAGAGTTTATAAAAGGAACTAATAGAGATGTGCCCATCAGGTGAGCAGCAAAGATATCTATTGTAACATTATTTATATTGTCAAAAATTTGGGGGGAAAAAAAACCTCAAAATCAAGTTGACAATATAAATCATGATTTAGCTATAAATAATATACTCTACTGACATTTTAAATAATTTTGTAAAAGAACAGTTCATGAATTTTTTTAGTGTGTACTTAAGTGGAAAAAAAGGAGCTCCTAGAACAGTATGTACAATGATTTAATGTTCCTAGAATTGCATGTAAGTGATGTATAGTGATAGTTGAACCGAATTACGTGTGAGTAGTGGGATCTCTAGTAATTTTAAATGTTGTTGGGGTACTTTTATGTTTTCCCATAATGAGTAGTAAAAAATGAAGATAATTTTCTTTAAGGCTATGTAATTAATTCAGAAAATAGGTTAGTATTGTATTAACAGAGGAAGCTTCACCGTCCAATATTTTTATGCTTTATTTTGAGGCACTCTGTGATGAGCTCACAAAGTACATGATAAACATTACCCTTCAATCTTTTCACCTAAGACAGAGAATTATCAGCTTAATTTTTCTGACTTATTAGCAGAATACTGAAGTTGTTGGTAACATTATATTTTTAGGACTGAAATAAAAATAGACCTATGCTCACAAATTTCAGGTGAGTAATACACAAACCACTGAATTTTAAGAACTAATTTCTACGGTGAGGAGAATTAACTTTGGATGTAGATAGATCTCATTTTAATTCTTGGCTCTGCCAGTTGCTATCTTTACAGGTTTATGCAAAATGTAAATGATTGAGTTGTGCATATCAAATGAGATCATATATGTAAATCACCTGGTACAAAGCATGAAATACAGTTAGGAGCTTAACAAAATGTAACTTTCACAAGAATCAGACATCAGCATTCTTGTCACCTGTGCTCCTTTTTAGTGAAGAGTCACCTATAGCACAATGTCTTCATGTGCTGGGCTGTAAATCATCGCTAGATCACAGGGCTCTACTTGCCAGGTGGGCCTTGGAAAGGTGGGGATTCAGAGCAAAGGTTGAGTAATGCTGCTTACTCCAAAGGTAGGGTGGCTGTGGCTTCACAAGCCCAGTGGTGAAGTCACTGAACCAGAGTAGGGGTTATAAATAGTGATGGTGATCAGAGTGGCATGTCCCACAAGCAGGACTGACCATGAGTTACAGTGTTCATCTCCCTAGAGATGCTTCATGCATTTTCATTGATGATGATGTTTAATTCCAACAATAACACACTATTTTGCTATCTAGCCCTCTCTTAGTTTTAACTTGTTGTTTTGGAAAATAAGGATAATTCAGTTCCACTCACTGCATGGCACTTAACCAGCTACTACACAGAAAGGGTGCTGATCACATAATGTTATATAGACAGCATATAATATTATTAGTAGGCAGAATTACCTACTTGATTAGTGATGACCTTGATTAGTATTTTTCCAGAACGTAGAGTTAATACTTATTTTTACCTGATACAAAAACCCATCTGCAGCTATTAATCACGGACGTTGGAATGTAATTGACAAATCCAGAAAGCTGCCAAATGCCAGGATACCTACACTGATAAGTAACATTAAAATTCTTTAGGAATAAACTTCCTTCAATATTTATTGTCTTGTTTACTCCAAAAATTGCAGGCACTCTAATAAATGGAGTCATAGTTCCTAGTGTCAATGTGACCATGAAATGCATTTTAGCATTTCGGAGGCTGGGGAGAAATGAGCTCTTTTTGTCAATACAAATCTCCTGTGTTTTAGGACCAGCGTTTCATGTGCGATTATTGAGTTCATAGGCTCGAGATGATCCACGCCCTCTGCTGTTGGATTCAGTTTTCAGGGCCTGACATCTTGTTCATTTTCAAGCACAAAAAGTCATATATGGTAGTCTCAGCCTAATAAATAATTTCTTAAGATACTAAGTGACTTTTCTTTTAGTTTATTTGCTAGGAAGCCTACCCCCTAATTTCAATTGCACCTCTAAGTACCATGCAGAATTGTATGGCCTTATGTTTTTGAATAAATTAACAAAATGAAGTGATATCATTATTGACTTCCAGAGAAGCGCAAGCATCCGTGGCTATATGTTAAGAAGACTTGGTTTTTTTAATTACCATTTCTTTTGGGCATTTATAGAATCTTTTAGACACAAATATGCATAAGGCATAAAGCTTGCCTTAGAGAAGCACTCAGTCCTATGGGGACAGATGTGGCAAATGGACTGTCACCTGAGAGGTGCCAATAATGCCATAATGGAAACGCAGGTGCAAGGCTTAGTGATGGTGATAAGAGATCATTTCACATGGTACTCAGTTGAATTCCCTAGTGAATCCAAAATATTTGGCCAATCTATTTTTCTTGTCATGTGATCATCATCCTGGTGTGCATTACTTTTGCATTTTTCTCTTCTAGAGACGCCCCAGCAGATGGCCAGCGATGAAGTTTCGAAGAGGTTCTGGCCACCCCGCCTATGCCGAAGTTGAACCAGTGGGAGAGAAGGAAGGTTTTATTGTATCTGAGCAGTGCTAAGAGTTCTAAGACAGGACAGCACCAGTGCTGGTTTACAGGTGTCATGACTAAAGTTTGCCTATACCTTTAAGACACACACACACACACACACACACACACACACACACACGTGCGCGCCCTAAGCTGCTGTAGCTGGAAGGAGACAAGATTTCTCGACAAGCCCAACCCAGGAAGGGTAAAAGAAAAACTAAAACTTCCACAAGATACTATTGACCACTCAGAACCTCTCTTCTGGACTTACCGGAATTATGACAAGACTACAATGCCATTGGCTTAGGTGTAGGGTTTTAAAGGGATCGAGAAAAAAAAAACAAAAAACAATAATAACAAAGCTTTCGTTTATGAGGGATCTACACCTCTGGTTCAAATATTCTTTTCTGATGTCTCAAAGATAACTGTGTTCCAAAGCCTGAACCCTTTTCACTCAAAAGAGCAATGATGAATGTTTCAAGATTGCTGAGGAAAAAATAGCTCATGCAGGATTAAAAAAAAAAAACTCAAAATAAGAGCTTTTCTATCTTTTCACCAGATATGTGGACAAAGGGTTTTGTTTTTCCTGGTATAGATCCACCTGTTCCAACAAGTTCTTTATAGGACGAATCTTTTATCTACACAGGAGGTGTAAAACTAGGCCTCCCTCTTCCTTGTTCACGGATGCCCTTTCTGTGAACTGCGATGGAATTTTCAAACGTTGAGCTAAGGATTAGGAAAGAGGGAGTGGCAGAGGAAGCCCTCGTTTCTTCCCCCTCAGAATAAAGCTTCTGATGTGTTTTATGAAGCATCGCCTCCATTCCCCAACCGTGAAGTCCTATGAAGCCACAGTTGCTCTTGGCTGAAGGAAACAAAAGGCTGGAGAGTCCTTTAATCATTTTTGAACCAAAAATATTAAGGGATTCTAAACATGTGGTGTTTTTTTTTTGTTTTTTGCTGTTTCGGTACTAAAGGCCCATTTCATTGTCAATTCCTGTCTAAGAAGCCATTCAAGTCAGCATATCCCTGGGGATAAAGAGAATGAAAGAACCCTGCTGAACCATACAGTAATTTTCTTTAAAGCACATAGTAGTTACATAAATATATATATATATATAAATATATTTTTGTTTATGAACTAACACAAGGCAGGCTCTTGTGACTCTAAGAGTGCATTTTGTCAGACAAAACACACAAGGTGCATTACTGCATACTTCCATAGAGTTGTAAAATAATCCTTAATATTAGAATATTTTTATGTCACTTAGCAAAAGGGGTTCAATTAGTTGCAGTGCCCATCATTTCCTGCCTATTTGAGCCATGCTTTCATTCAGATCAACCCCGTCCCTCCCGGGCTAAATAAAGCCGATGCCAAAAGCTCCTTAATGGAGCTGCCATTTGCGCTGTAATCACGATCCAGATTCTGAAATTTCCCCCTGAACCAAGAAAGAAAAGGCATCCCTTTGAGGTGGAAAGTGGTTAATTTAAATATATATAAATGTATACTGAGCTCCTAAAGTTTAAAATTCAGGTACTGTGTATACAATCTCATCAACATCTCGACCCATGAAACTTACATCCTGTGCCAAGAAGCTGTGGGTTCTTGTAGGGTACAGTGTCTACCATTTGCAGATTCGGGTATCGAAAAGCAGAGATCTTTTAAATAGCACTTTACTAACAGTTTAGCATCTGTACACAGTGTCTACATTGGAAGACATCAGTCCACTAACAGAGTATCATATTTATCTTCACAAACGTCTGATGTAAACTAGTGACATTTTCCATCACATGGATTTTGCTTTACATTTTATAAGTACCTGATGAGGGTGGTAATTTTTCCCTAAACTGCTTAGTTAATAATTGCAAAAAGAAAAAAAAATTGACAAGCAAGGTGATTGAAGGATGTGATGACAATCTCTCTGCTGTAGCTTCGTTCAATTTATAAAAATATCCCAACTTGTTTCTTGTGGAGCAGGCGTGATCAGGTAGTGATAACCAAGTGACTTGCCAATGTAACTGGTGCAACTGGTATTCTACAGAGACATAAGGGACACATAGACGATTCCTTTTAGGATAAGATGACGCTTCTTTCACTAGCTTTCGTGGTAGGTGTGGCTTCTAATAGCAGTGGATTGACAGTTATATAAATCCTGCATATATATCCACATCCTTACACAATTCTTTGAAGTAGTAATATTATCTTTGTGCCTCCCATCTTCCATTTTTGATTCAAAAGAATTGGCAATTTTGTTGAAAAGCGTAAACCCCTCTGAATTGTTCAGTGAACTAAAGCATGAAGTAATAGGGACAACTTATCAGAAGTAAAAAGGCTACTGAAGTGTGGGAAGACTTTCTGAAAGAACTAGGAGTTAGAGGTAGTTAGACATTTCTGTTGTGTATGAATCTTTCAGTTGTAAGGGGAATGGCTGGCTGAAATCTTGTTTCATGAAACCTTCATTCTATTTTATTTGTCTGCTTTGTTCTTAGTGCTTATTTACTGCAAAGGAAGAGCAAACATATGCAGTTGCTGGAAGCTCAGAATAAATGCTGATGCTTTGAACTTTACATATATTATGTATTAGAAAGGGTACAACTGTACACTACTTAATATATTAATACTATGAACGTAGTAGAGGGAGATTAACAAAAACAATTTAAAAATTAAGACCAGCAAAGAAACACATACAAACTCCTGGAGAAATCAGGTAAACGGTGCTATAGAGGAAGTTAATTATTTCATCTTAATTGTTTGTAAAACTAATATTCAATGGTTAGATAAAAGTGTTAAAAGACAAAAAAAGAAAGTCTCTTAAGCCAACCAGATAGCAGCAACCACAATGTTGGATTGTTTATGAAGGGTTTGGACATTCCCATTGTCACAGGAAATTCTATTACACAGTGCTGTAGAGGTCTTTCATTGTAATTCCCTCTCCTTAAAGGAAAAAGGAGGAGGGGGGAAAAGAGAAGGTTTTATAGTTCTTGGCCATATCTAAGCATTTTGATCTCAGGCATGATGGAGTAGTGAAAAACATACCATCTGACCCAGTTTTGAGTATCCACTGTGTTATTGTGGGAAAATCACTTTACCCTCCATGAGTCTCAATTTGGGAAAATAAATTTTTTTTTATCCTGTCTTCCTTGCAAGCTTATTATTATGCAGATTGACCAAATGTACAGATGTACAGACTTATAAAACCTTACGTCAACATAACCCGAATAAAGCACAGCTGTTGGCCCGGTAGCAACACATATTTGCTTTTAGAGAACAACAGTCCATCACTCCACAAAGCAGTCAAAGGCAATCAGATCAATACATGTTTTGAGAAAATGCCAAAGGAGAATACATTCAAAACACCCAGCAAAATTGCTTAAATTCCTTTCTTCCCATCTGAATATTTTCTCTTAATATTTCCTCTGCATAACATCTCTCCTCTCCTACACCAAAGTCCCCTAATTGCATCCTTCACCTGGCTCTGATCTTTATTATGTAGTCACTTAGCCTCTGTATTTTCCTCTGATTTCCCAATTTATTCTTCATAGCAAAGGGAGGCCCAGGAGCTGACCAGTAGGCTTCTCTTTAGAAGGAAATGCCTCAAACAGAAGTAACTTCAAATATTTCTCTTATCCCTATAACACAAATGTAAGGGGCTATCACAATTAAAATATAAATATGTGGAACTTAATTTTAAATATAAAAATTGGCAAATGTCAACTATAAAAAAAGGCATATTAATTAAAATTAAATTATGCTAATATGCAAATAGCATATATTCTCAGTTAGTATAACATTAACTTTTTGGCAAAAAAAAATCTTGTACTATTTTTTCATTCTGAAGGAGCATAAATTTGGTGTTGCCCCTAGGATATATTGTCCATTTGAGAAAAAGTTTTGCTAGAAGCCATGCCTTGGTTCAAGATGCTTCCATTCCATGATAAGCAATGAATATTTAAATAAGACTAACTGAAAAATAGATCTTACGGTTACAGTATTTTCCTCCTGTGAAATGTTATTTTGCTTTGTATTTCCTCAGGCATTTTTTCAGATGTTTTATTACAACATGCTTTACTAATTTCAAAAGATTACTCTTGCTTTTTCTCTCCCACCTGCTTTTGCATCTGCATCCATATGCCGGAATCAAGGGAGGTCATCTAATTCCAACTTTTCATGTCACAGATCAGAAAATTGAGGCCCAGAGAGATAAAGTAATTTTCCAGTGTCAAAACCGGGTGTTGAACTTGAAATTCCTCTTGGGTTATTTCTGTTCTACATCTCCTTGCCTACACCACTTTGTCATCATTTAAGCAGCTCAGAAGGCACAGTCCATCTGAAAGCTAGCTTTCTTTGCTCTATCGACTATCGGCTCTGCTCTATGACATGGAACAGTGGACCGATCTTCCTCTGTGATGTTGCTGTCTTAAGAATGGTGCCGTTTTTATAACAACCAGTGATTTCAAGCTCTAGCAATTATAGGATCTGTATTTGGTTTCTCACATTCTTTCCTTCCAACCCTACCTGTCTGTGGTCATCTAAGTTAGCAATACTATTTCTCTTTTGCCATTTATAATTTTTCTGCTTTTGTTTCATTTCGCCCCAGTGTACCTGACAAACGAATAATCTTCATAGCAGGTTTCCGTACCATATATATATATAACCACAGTTTTTATTTGCTTATTAAACTGTCTGTACTTTTTGTCCTTAGAAGGTTTTCAAAGCAAATATGATGAGGTGTGTAGCATTACCTATTATGTAAATACTCATATTACATTGTGTTTGTAAAGCACTTTACATTTCGCAGAGCACTTTGATTCATCCCTTTATTTGTTCATTCATTTAATCAGTCAATCAGCTTAACTATTTATTGAGCACCTACAGGAACCAAATTACTGTGCTACATCTGTGGCATATAGTGATAAATACAAATAGTGAAAGATTGGCGATGTCCACTGATAGTTGTAGTATGGTGACATCCTCAAACACAAGTTGGCAACTAGGCAAAATCAATATTACTCTATTCGACTTCCATTCCTATTTTCTATTCTACTTACAGAGGGAACTGTCAAGTACTTGCCTAAAGAATGTTTCTGAAATATGATGCATCATTGCACATCTGTGCTGTTTGCTCTATTTCACATGATCTGTGTTTTCATTGATGAGAAGAAAAGTTACTCATCCAAAGTTGTCCCAGACCAAGGGGGACTTTCCAGGCCACTTGAATTCTTTCTGACCAGATGTAATAGTTCACTTTCTTGCACCAGTATATCTGTTGTGCCTTTCTGAATTATCAACATCAGTTTTAAGGTATTCTAGAAGCACCAGTGTGTCAAAAAAGCATTTGCACTTTAGGTGTGTGTGGTTGGTTGTCACTTATTCGACTGTCTCAGGTTTCCTCAACCTCAGCACTGTTGACATTTTGGGACCCATTATTCTTTGTTGGGGGAGGGGAGGAGCAGTCCCATGCATTGTAGGGTGTTTGGCAGCTTCCAGGGTTTCTATTGACTATGCGCCAGAAGCTCGCGCTCACACACACCCCAGTTGTGACAACTAAAGACATCTCCAGACATTGCCAAATGTCCCCCGAGGTGGGATTGGGAAATCTACTGGATTAGCTAGTGAGCAAAATATAGCAGGAGAAAACAAGGAATATTTCTTTTACCCTTGTCACTTAATCTTCCTCATAAGTAGGTTTTTGTTTACAGTAAGACTTGGAATCCTAAACTCTTTGCATTAGAAGGGACTGTAAAGGTCACAATTTCAAACACAACCCAACATCATTCTAATCTATTTCTCCATCTCTCGGTTTTACAAATTTATTGAGAGAAGATCGGAAGATTGGTTATCGCTGAAAATTTGGGAATTGACTTTTTCGTAGCCAGAGATACAGTTGTTTGGCAATTATATTTGCTGCTGTGATAGCTGCTGTGGTGATTTTTGCTTCACTTTGGGTACTTGGTGTCACAGAACTTCAGTATCTTAGAGACTTTGAGGAATTTTCTTTTGGTCACTTCACACATCTACAAATCTTGCTCCTTTGTCTTTGCCTTCCAAATGTGCAGAGAAGTTGAAGTTTGTTGCTTCTAATTTTAAGTATATCTGGATGAGCTTTCTATTTCTCATACTGATTTTTTTTTATTGTCCCTCTGTGTGTGGGGGGGGGAACAAAAACAAAAAACAATTGACTGTCCCAAGTAATTGCAAATTGGAAATCTCAGAGTTGGAATATTTAAATCTATCAAGCCAAAGTTTCCGCTGATTTGATGTGCCTTATGTCAGTTTTCCTGTAGGTTCAGTGATTTCTGATGGATAACTCTGAATCCCATCCATTTGTACTTGTGTCTGTTCTGCACCAGTTAAAAGCTTGATGAAATTATACAAAGACAGTCTCTTAGAATATTCCCAGAAATAACAGCAAACCCCTTACTGGAATATCAGGTTTCTCTTTATTCCGTTGCTAAAAGGCCAGCCTAGACTTAGAAAGCATTCCTAATTATTGACTACAAGTTATTAGTATGGATACACAATTGAAAGCCTTGATTATGAAGTCTAAAGGTATAGAATATTGACAAGCACACCCAGAGTGAGCTCTCATAAGACAATCATGGAAATCAGAAAACCATCACCTAGGAGACCCTCAAGTGTGTATATAATTTTCTACTCTACTACTGTCATGTCAGACAATGTGGTGTTACTTAACGTTTTGATCCAGTTGCTCTTCAGTTCAACTTAAATTATAATACAATTACCTAATTTTTGCCTCACATAGCTTTTAAACCATCCAGTGCCCACTGCTCTCACAATGATAATGGCAAAGAAATAAGGTGATAATTATGAGGGCAAAATTACACGATTTCTTGAATCGGTTCTCCATAAAAGTTTATGGAATACATGATCATTGGCTTCTCACTGCTAATTCTTGTTCATTTCTGGATCACTGTCACACTAAACGACTGATTCTGTTACTTTAAATCCAGAAGAAAAGGCTGGAAAAAAATTAATGCAAATCCTATGCTGGTACTCATAGTTTTCTTTCTAAGATTTATTAACATTTGAGAATTACTAAAAAAATTCTCTCCTAATGAAATACAGTCAAAATTTTTGATGTGACAGTGACTTGTTGATTTTTAAAAATAGCCCCTCTTTTCCCTAGCATTACAAAAAAATATATATACTTTCACATCACTTACTCATCATGCAGCTATAAACCTTTTGTGCCTATGGACTAGATACATAGCATAAAGCTAATTTTAGAAGTTTGCTATGTGGGGAGAGATATAGACATGGGAGTGAGTGGATGGGGATAATTCACAGAACAAAATAAAGATCAAAATATGCTATGAAGCAGTCTTCAACTTCTTCAGAGTAATGTGGAAATAAATATTCAGTGAGAATCAACTCAAATTTAGGTCATTCAGACACTGAGGCACAGATCCTGCAAGTTATGCTAGAAATGTGACATACAGAAAATAAAGGATGCCCCCCAATTAATCTAAAAATCAGCCATCATGTCCTGGGGCACCAATCCTGATATCACTGAGGACTTTGCTCTAGGGAATTGGGTTGCTTATGGTCAGGTAATGACCAAACAAGAGACTTTCCATTTATCTCCCTGTGACTTACAAGGCATGCTCTTTTCTTCCCTTATACCAGAGACCATGAGATAGCCAACCACACACTAGCAATAAATACCATAAAAATAAAAGGAATTTTTCTGAGGACAGGATAAGAGAGGGCACTGGGAACTGGGAACCCACAGCTGTATCTCTATGAAGTTTGACCACCTCAGGACCCAGACCCAAGGACTGTTGTCTAGACAATGCGGTCGAGTCTAAGCAACCATTTTAAAAGCATTTGAACAAAAACATACTCTGATTGTCATATTTGTAGCAGGGCAATAAAAACTCAAATTAAGTGTCCTTTACCAGGCTCCTCTGAAAAGACCATTAAGTTGAAATCAGAGCTTCCCTTGCTAAGAAATGTTAAAATCATTTTAGGGAAATGAATTTTCTTTAGACACAGGCATTTTGTGTATATCATAACACAGTCTCGGGGCTCTAGCTGGGAGGGGGAAAGTCTTTTCATAGGTTGGTCAAAACAAATCTTTCATTTGCCTCATTTGAGGCCTTTGGACAGTGCCTGGGAAGTACATTATCTTCAGGGGGGGAAAAAAAGAGAGTCTTTTTCGCATGCCAGCTGGGATCATGGGAACTTCCAATGCCAGGAATTTCCTACTGTTTCTGGTAATTCTGCTTGTAGTAATTTGAAATGTTGAAGTGTGAAATGAGAAGAAGTTGAGCACCCCGGGGGCTGTCTGTGTTTTATGCCAGTTGCACCAGCACACAGAATATTTGTCAAATGCATTTCAGAGTGGGTATAATTGTACCCTTTGTCAGAATCACAAAGCTCACTGTGGTGCTGCTGAAAGCGAACACTGGGGGAGAATCTGACCCTCAGAACCCAGTCAGCCCCACACAAGAGGAAAGACTGTGTGGTGAGCAGCGCACACAGCAAGTTTATTTCTCACTGTTTTCTGAAGCCCAGTCCCTCACATCAAGGACGTGTCTTTCAGGTGACGGTTCATTTTGCTGAGGTTTTCCAAAACTTCATTTAACACAGGGCTTGGAAAACCGAGCGTTTTGAATTCCCTCCAGGCCTCCGGACATCGTTTCTGTTTCCGTTGCCATGTCAATGAGACATTCCGCGGCTGCATTCTTTCACGATCAAAGAACGCGCGCATACTTCATGATGACCTCACGCTTGACGTACCTGAACCTGCAAATGTAAAAATGATTGTATCTGAATTTGCACTAATGGTGTCCGATAGCAGAAGAGGTGTGACCTTTATTGAAATCCACTGTTTAAATTCAATAATTCAGATGTTACATAACTTCTGCAAGCTTCTTGATTATCTTCACTGTAAGAATTATCTAAGTTTGAATGTATTTCTTTACAGCCCATTAATTTGCCATCTATCTTTTTACCATTATGATTGCAATAATTCATGAAAGTTTTCCTCACACGGCTTCTTAAGCCAAGTTTTTCAGTAATCCTTCTGGTCCTGCTTACAGTATGTGGGAAATCTCTTCTTTCATAGTAATAATTTTATAAGAAAGCCAGTATATTGACTGCCATAGTGACACAATTCATCTTTAAAGGTCTGGAAGCGGGTGGTGACCAAATGTGTTCTCTCTGTTGAATGCTATTTTCAGAATTAAATCATGGTTTTTCACTTTCAGTTACCGTCAACAAATTTGGGATTTTAGAAGGGGGAGAAGGGAGCAATTTGTGTAATACTGCTGTCATATTTGACTACATATTAAAAACAATAAATGATCATTTTGTTTTAATTTCTTAAAAATGTTTACCCTTGTCTTTCAACATATTTTTCTTTCCACCATTAGTTTTCGAAACCATTTACCTATTGTGGAAGAAAAATCACTGACATGTCCAGAGCCACAGGCTAATGACAAGATAGAAAATCCTTTTGCTTCTAAACCTGCCCTAGTGTGGAGACTGATACCAACTAGAGTGAACTGTAGAACATGAAGGATCTAGAATGTCCTAGAGGCAACTGCGTGGAGACTTGGCTGCGGCCCACAACCCGTAGGGCACAAAGGCTGAGTCCCTCTAGATCAGAGACATGGGGTTTTCTCTGCCAGTTTAAATCCTACTACCGGAATAAGCCAAGGTGGTTTTAATTCAGCTCTTGCCTCGGTCATTAGTCTCGGTTTATGAATTCCAGTGACTTTCCAGTTGCGTGACTGAAGTGCCTCTGTGATTCCATCCCCTTTTCCCAAACTGGAAATGATTGTACCTATTTCTCAGGGGCTTTTGGATGTGTGCCTCAGCTAATGTATGTAGAATGCATGAAGTGAGATGTTTTGCATTCCAAATATTATTTCCCTGTTTCCTCATCTGTCACTCTTGACCTATCCTTCTTAATAACACCAAGTACACATAGGCCTGAACCTCAGGCAAGGAAGCAGGCAGGTGCCGGAAACTGTGGGGACCTCTAGTCAGTGGTGGAGCAAGCCCTTTGTTCAACTCAATACTGATTTTAAAAATCTTACCTCTGTATGGATCTTTTGGACTGTATTGATTAAACGTTGATACCATGGAGTAAATTCAGAGCTGCAATTGTTAGTGGTGTGAATTGTCTTAATGATGCCAAAAGGGCCAAATTGCTAGTGCAAATCAGGCAACTTTCCTGAATAGTAGAAAAACATTAAGACCAGTGCTTTTAAACAACATTTAATGTGTGCCATTTCTTTAAATAACACAGTGCAAATGGTAAAGAAAAAATGCTAATGACAATCATGCAACTTCTAAATTAGCTGTAGATCTATATCTCTTATGAACCTGGAGACCACACCTTCTCCTAACAAGTCCCCTATTCCACACCACTCTTTCCAGAATCAGAACCTTTTGACAGGCATCTGGGAATCTTTTTCCCACAGTTTATTTTAACAAACATTTATTAAATAAGTATCTAACCTGTGCTATGCAGAGTGCTTGACTCCAAGGCTACCAAACCAAAAAAGACAGGGTCCCTGCTTTCAATTAGCCTGCACTATAATGGGGAGACAAACATTTAAACAAATATGGCAAATGACAGATTAGAGGTCCCAGGATAGAAATATTTACAAGTTCAGTGAAGTCACAAAGGAGGGAAGCGCTCATTCTGTAAGGAAGGAGTCAGGAGAGTTTCCCCAGAGCGAGTGATACTTGAACCTGGTCTTGACAGGTGAGTAGAACTTTACCAGGGACAACACAGCATACCAGGGACAGGGTGGCTGGGAGCAAATGGACCGGCTGGGGCAGAGGGAGCAAGGAGAGAGGATGACTGGAGAGTATGCCGAGGCCAGAGAGTTGAAACCCTGATAATATCTATAGGATTTCAGAGTCTTATCTTCAAAGCAGTAGGTGCACTTGAAAGGTTCCAAGCCTAAGGGCCATCCATATCAACCAAACTAATTTAGAAAGATCACCCAGCAGGCAAAGTAATGGATGAATTGCAAAGGAGAAAGCTGGGAAAGCATCCTGGACACAACTGCTCAAGTCTGGCTACTGCTGCGTAACTACTATTCCTCCTTAGTCCTCAGATCTTCACCTCCACGTCTCCAGATCTCAGGCCTCTACTAATAAAACCTAAGCCCATCAGCATGGGTGAAATGCCTCACTCCCTTTCAGCAAATTATACATTTTCTTTCCCCCAAAGTGATATCACATTTTGACAGATTTTTATGTGAAATCAGCTAGACCTGCCCAGGTTTACCCATCTATACAGCAAGAACTCTCTTTTCCATCTTCTAAGAAATCTCAGGACAACCCAGACAATCAAGACTGCCTGAAGTAGCAGTTACCTCTCCTCCACGATGAGGATAAAACAGGATAATAACACATATCGTCAGTTTCCTTCTGGTCAATATAGACTCAGTAATTAAATTATTTGAATTTGACTTTAAGGCATTCTCTCTGAAGTAAATGATCCAGTGGTTGTTTTTGTTTCATGTTAATACTTAACCCACCAAATTGTCCTCAGAATTAATGAATTAGCAAATGCTCGGTATCTGTGATTATCACAAAGCTCAGCAAATCTGAGTTGAAGAAAGGAATTGGGAAGATCGGATGGTTTCACTTTCAGAGGGGGACCAGGAGCGTGATGAAGCCTGCACCAGGGGTACAGTCAAATGTCATTAAAGGGCAGAACCAGATCACAGACCCAGTGGGAGACAAGGAATGTCAAGACTGACAAAAACTAAAAACAAAGCCTCAGAGATGTGAAGCAGTCCACAGAGAGAAGACTTTAATGCAAACTGCCTCTGGATAATTTGAGAATATATTGAAATATTTCAGAGGTCTCTAAGGAAGCAGATAAACACCTGACTTAGCCATCAGGGAAGCTATGAAGCTGTCACTCCTAAGACCAGTTGGTTCCCATAAACCTGACTCTGCTTTTAAATATCATGGCCATGCAGTTCAAGTGCATTCTCATTGCGTGAGGCTTGTGCCCTGGAAATGTAAGGCGCTTGTAGACTCGCAGTGGTTCTCAACCTGTGGGTCGCGACCCCTTTGGGGGTTGAACGACCCTTTCACAGGGGTCACCTAAGACCATCGGAAAACAAAAAGCTATTTACATTACCATTCATAACAGTAGCAAAATTACAGTTATAGAGTGGCAACGAAAATAATTTTATGGTTGGAGGTCACCACAACATGAGGAACTGTATTAAGGGGTTGCGGCATTAGGAAGGTTGAGAACTGCTGTATGTAGAGGAACAGAACCCAATGGTTTTGCTCTATTCCTGTGTGCCTTCCATTTACAGGTAACCAGATTTCACACCTGCACCTGGGGTGTAGCGAGAATACAGGTCAGGCAGACAGGCAGGTGTGGAGAAGTAAGGAAAAGCTACGAAATGACTGCCTTAGCTGACGCTGATTTCCCTGAGGCAGGCAGCGGGCATGTTAAGAAATATCATCTACACATGTGTTTCTCCAACTCTTAATGTAGAGAAATGGTAATTTTTGGAAATTTCAAAAACGTGTCAGAGAGAAAACCAATGCGAGTCCCTTAGAGTCTGCATCTCTAGGCCATGTAGGAACTCCAGCCTCCACCTACTGACGGGCCCATTATTTTCTGTGAGTTGCTATCACTTTGAAGACACACAGAAATGTACTTGGCCTCCCAGGGTAAATACACTTCACAAATGCCAGCATCCCTTGATAAATGTTAATTGACCTCTTTTTAATGTGTGTTCTCCTGAAGAGTTACAACAAACTTTACTTAGAACTTTTAAACTTCTACCAGATATTCTCCTGGCATTTTTTTGTTTTGTTTTGGTGAGCTTTACAAACATTTGGGGTTGCAGGATAACACTGGGCTATTTTTCTCCCCAAATATCTTTGTACAATTGTAATTTAGATCTCTGTCCGAAAGGATTTATTGTGGCATGAGCCTTGATAGAATGTGAAGCAAATTTCCCTGCCTGCAGTTTGGCTGGTAGCCTAGAGGATGAGATGCATAAATTATTCTAAATGCCATAGAGCCTTGCATTTGATTTCTTTCTAGAACGTTTTAAATCTGCGTTAGAATGCCTTGAAGTGAGATCGTGACCAAGTGGAGCAAGAACACATCACAAGAAACAGAGCTAGTGACTTTCAAAAAAGGAAGCATCCCTTTTGTAAAATGCTGTCGTCTGGAATTTAATTAGGTGTTATTCTTTAGAGGAAATGTGTGTTATTTGAACAAGTCCAGATCTCAGCGGGTTAAGCAGTAGTTGGTCAAATAAGAAAAGAGCACTGCTGTTAGAGAGAAAGGTGAAAAGAAGGGCTTCAGTATCACAAGAGACTCCCCAGTTGCATATTGCACAATAAAAGGGCCGTGGGGATCGGGAGAGCCATGTAGGTTTCCTATTGTTTTACATCATGCCCTGATATGAAGCCTTATTGAGGCACTGGGGTGAGAGTTCATATTCTTCATACAGATTGCTGCAGTCAGTTTGATTTCCTTGACATAAAACTGCAATGGAGAGCTGACCTGGCTGTCAGGGTTCAGAGGCAGGGAAACATTCACTTCCTGCCAAAACAGGAAGGAAAGTCCAGTGGTGACTGCTTTCGCGCTTCTGATAAATGTCAAACCAGGATCCCCTTATCATCAAGAGCTTCCTCAGGGGCATCTATCTGCTCTCAAGTCTACACATGTCAGTTTCCTGAGATAAGTTTTCTCTCTCTGCCAATAATATGAGATATCAGGCCATCTGACACCTACCCATGTAGCAATTAAGGGGATGAACTCTGTGACATCCTGCAACTGACCAGCATTCTTCATGGACAACAAGAGGATTAAAGTAGTGCTGACTTCCTAGGATTATTGTGACAAATAAATGAACTAAAATATTTAGCATTGTATTATGCCAGAATACTCCAAACAAGTTAGTTATGCCATCATAATGGTTGCCCATGAAAGATGCATTGATTTTGGTAGCAAAATCTGTCTGTCAGTCTATTCTTTTTTCATTCTGAGAGGTTGATCAGAGAGAAAAGGAGGGAACTTGAAACCTCAGTAATGAAAAATTAAAACTTAAACACCAAAACACAACCAGAAATCTATATTAAGAACATTTGGTTATAGAATTTAAAGAGGTAACTGCCTTTTTTCATATATATATATATATATATATATATATATATATATATATATATATATATATATACAGTTGATGTTTGAACAACTTGGGGTCCACATATAACTTTTGACTCCCCCAAAATTTAACTACTGTTGACCAAAAGCTTTATCGATAACATAAACAGTTGATGAACACATATTTTGTACATTA